GCGGACCGCCGTAGTATCCTGTTGTCATTTCTGCCATCAATCACTAAGAGAATGATGAGGAAGACTAGACAAGAAGCCTATAAGTATTTTAAAGTGTTATTGAGGTACGAGTGTTTTTAGTTTAAGAACTTTTTACGTTCTTATTATTTTCACTTTTTAAGTGTATAACGACTTTGATTTGAATAGATTTGGGTATTATTGTTAGTCTTTTGATTGGAATGTTTTATAATTTTTCATGAATTATTATATATTTATGTATGATAAATACTGTGTTAAAATTTTCTACATAATTCCGCATAATCTAATTAATGACCACATAATCCGATTAATTGTTACCCAATATTAGACTGTATGCATAATGACGTGTTTTAGAACCTTGCACACGGTGTTAAAATACCCCTTCTAGCCTAACAGTGTTTGTGTTTTAACAAAATGTAGGCGAGTGGACAAAAATATCCTTCCCCTCGTCATCTTTCCTCCCTCAGCTCGTGGACTACAGCTGTGTGGCATGTGCTTATAATTGATTCTTTTCGAGATGGAGCTTTGGTGAGATCCAGTGACTAAGTATTTGTTAGATGAAGTGATCACAAGTGATATGGGGGTCTGGTGAGAACTTATTATTGCTCCGACAGAAGCTTTTCATTGAGGAGACCAAACTCTCTTGCTACTGTCCTACCACTGCTTTGGATGTGAACTGGAGGGAAGGAATGAGAGAGTAGAGTATAGCATGGAGATCGTCAGATTGAGTCCATGGAGATGAGAATGAAGGATGTCCAAGATTACATCAAGTATAATCATTTGTTGTTCCCTGAAGGGTGCTATCAGCAAGGAGAGGAAGGAGATCACTAATTGGGATTGTTAGCAGGGGTGGAGGGGGCTAATGACAGGGAGTCACAGAGGATGAGGAAGGAAAGACAGAAAGGGAGGGGTATTCTCTTTTTCCATTCACCTACATTCTGTTAAAAACAATGGCTATTTGCATATACATACCCCTCAAATCATGAGTATCTACAAAACTACTCCCAAATATTAGTTTAAAATTGCCCCCCAAATCATCAACTTTGGAGGGAAAAAATATAACTAAAGTCAACAAATCAACTTAGTAGGCAAAAGAATTGACTATTTTGTTCATATTTGTTACATTTCAGTTACAAATAAGTGAAAGTGAAATGTAGGATATATGTCCAAAAAATGTATGATACGTGTTTTAAACTAAAACATGTATTGTTTAATTGAGTACCTGTCCGAATAAATGTATGCATATATGCAAGAAGTGTCCAAGGAGTTTGGGTATGAGCACGGGTACGTGTCAGGTATGAGTACAGCTTCATATAATAAGTATAGGTAACATAGGGACCAAGGGATTATTTTCATCTTTTTTTTGGCACATGCTTGTCACATGAGATCATTAAAACCAATGGTGCTAATTTCAAGATTAAATGAGAAATTTAGCATAATAAAAATGTTCAGGGATGGTTATGTTCATAAGCCCAGAAGTTCAGGAGGTTTAGTGTAAAAAAAATATGGGTTTAGTGCAACTCCCCCCCAAAATTCAGAGGTTTTTTTGCAATTAACCCTTGCAATATCTAGATTTGAAAGGTAATTTTGCAAATATGGATGATTTGGGGCATATATATGCAAATAACCCAAAAGATTAAATTACTATATTTTTGGCTTATAAACATTTTAAATGTAGATAAAATCAACTTTAGAGAGCTGGGTTACAAAAACAAATCATCAACATCAAATCCAAGTATTTTGTTCCAAATCTTCCCCAAAGGATCAAAGATCAAATGGTTGGTTCAAAGATGGAACTTTTTCTAGATTCATACTTTTGAGAATACAACTTTTTGATTCAAACATTGATCTTGATCTAACCCCCTAGAAACCCCTTATAAAAGTATTGCGTCAAATACTTAAACTCAGGCATATTACATTGTTAGACTAACCAATTTTCTATTTAAAATGTACATGTATAGACAGTGATGCATGGGCAAGAACTTCTAATAACTTGACTATTGACTTTTAGACATTTGCATGATGCATTCAACTTTTAACTGAAATGACCTATAAATTTATAATACTGAATTTGAATGGAAAGGATTTGTTCCAAATCCTTATGCAAGAAAATTTGTTCGTGTGTGGGCATGCATGCATGAACAGTAACTAATATTGGGACGGCAAAAAAAACACTACATTAAGCACAATACCATACTGGCAGATCATTCCTCTTCTTCTAGATATTGTCAATACTAAGACATTAAAGTTATGCCAAGAAAAAATGCATAGAATTTAAGTTTCGTTTGATTACTCTGGGGCATGATATCCAAAAGTTCCAAGGACACGAGTAGAATGAAGACGAGCAGCCATGTCAGGAGCCTGATTTGAGAGGTTGAAATCTGCAATTTTTGCTTTGAAATCTTCAAATAAAAGAATATTGCTTGATCTTATATCCCGATGTATTACAGAAGGTTGAGCCTTCTCATGGAGATATTCCAGACCCTTTGCTGCATCAATAGCAATTCTCACCCTCTGAATCCAATCAAGCACAGGACCAGGTTGGGCACCTTGGACTCCTTTCCTGCCTGGAATTCAAAAGGATTTAGATTTGATGATTGCCCACGACATCAGGCTTGGCATATGAATAATGCAGTACTATAGCAAGCTGATCATCATACCATGCAAAACATCATGCAGTGAACCCATGGTAGCGAATTCGTAGGACAATAAACGATAATTTCCTTCCACACAGTAGCCCAGCAATTGAACAAAATTATCATGTTTCAATTTTGATACTGTTTCTACCTGATGTCAGAAAAACATTATGGTTTAACTTTTAGTCTGGAAACGCACAGCATATAAGAGAGAACAATAGAGAGTACAAAAATAGCGGTTGAGCTGAAATCATCAAGCACACCTGAGTCAGAAACTCTTCCTGGCTGGAATCTGGCTCTGAAGAAACATCAAGTTTTTTTATTGCAACCTGTTGCCCACTGTTTAGAACAGCATAATATACTCTTCCATAAGACCCTTCCCCAACCAAAGACTGCGATCCAAAGTTGTCAGTCTTCGCTTTTAGTTCCTCTAGAGACAATTTAGGTACTTCAATATTTATAACTCTCTTCTGTTGTTCAGCTTTCGCCACAGCAGCAGGCCTTGAACCCTTCTGTGTTCCTGGAAGTGATTTCAAAAGAATCATTAAAATGATGACAGGAAAAAGAAACATCCAGAGAACACCTTCAGCCAAGAGGTCAGAGGGCATATTCTTCAAATTCAGAATTAGCATAATTCATAGGAAAAGGAGAAAAAAATATTGACAATTAGATAAATATGGGAAGACTAAATTCCCTTCATTTGGGAAGACTCAATTCCTTTCATTGTTTTTATATCATAACCAGTCTTTTTTAGATATCTTTCCATATTAGTTGGTCTACTCTGATTCTAATATGGTGCAAATCTAATTTATAATTGATTCAACACAACTAGACGAGTGATACAAAATCGAGATTGGGCCTAGACCTTAACGACTTCCAGTTTTTTAATACTTTTTTTAACTCCCTCATCACAACCAACCAAAGTACTCGATATTCAGCATCTCGCTGTTGATAAAACTAGCAGAAAGTGGCAACGAGAACACACAAGCATTATCCCTCAAAGAGAAGAGATAAAAGAAGCAACGAGCGACAAAATTACAGGAAAGGTACAAAGCCTATGAAATATGATAATATCCATATCAGATAACAGAAGCAAGTGTAATACGGTTAATATGTAATAACATATACATTATATACAGCTAGGAGTGGAAACGAACCAAATAATTAACAAATAGTTTGTTAATTATTTGACTAACTATTCGGTCATAGTTGATCCAACGGTTCATTTAACACTAAACAAAAAATATTTAGTATTCGAGTTCATTAACGAATAGAATTTAACCATGGGTATATTCGATTCATTTGCTTATCAAATATTCGTTTACAATTTGATTGCTTATAATTTGTATCATTACATATGTTTTTATATTTTCAACCTACTTATATTTTCTACTTAAGTTCTATATACTAATTTTGAGAAACTTAAAGAATCTTAAATCAGTTTTCTAATGAAATATTCGAATTGAATATATATACATTGTAACTATAAAGAAATAATTTTACCATTTAAAAGATTAAATACTTTGGAAGAATGAATATACTTTGAGATTCAATAAATATTTGTGAATAGTCATGAATATTTATCAAATACCTAGTATTCGAGTTCAAATTCAAAAAACTACAGACAAGGATATTTGAATTTGGCTTCGAATTCAAACAAATACAAATACGAATATCTCAGTATTTGATTCGATTCGTTCGTTTACCACCCCTATATACAGCAATCTATCTATATAGTTAACACACTGGCTATGTTACTTAGGTACTTCTAATTTGAAGCCATACTCACATGGGACACATACGAGTACCCATGTCCGAGCTCCCAGGACGCTCCTTGCATATATACATCTATTCAGGCATGTACTCAGTTGTCATACATCTTTTGGACATATATCCTACATTTCACATCCACATCCACATCTTGAAAGTAATTAGACACACGTCAGGTTCCAAATTATGATTTTGAAGGATCAGTTGGATGTCTAGTTCAAAAACTAACGATTTTCCAATTTATAATCCATATAATAAAAGAAACATAAAATGTTATATGAAATTTAATTCTCAGCCTTGTTCTCATACAAATTGTTAATTCCAATATATAATATATGTGTATATAAATATTTATATAGTTGTATCCCCATACCCTACCTCCCTAGACACTCCTTGCATATGTACACCTATTCGGGCATGTACTCAGTTGTCATACATCTTTTGGACATATATACTACATTTCACATCCACATCCACTTCTTGAAAGTTGTTAGACACACGTCAGGTTCCAAATTTTGATTTTGAATGGTCAGTTGGATGTCTAGTTCAAAAACTAATGATTTTCCAATTTATAATCCATATAATAAAAGAAACATAAAATGTTATAGGAAATTTAATTCTCAACATTGTTCTCATACAAATTATTAATTCCAATATATAATATATGTATATATAGATATTTATATAGCCGTGTCCCCGTACCCTACATTTTACAAATTTGTTGTGCCCCGTGCCTATACCGGTATCCGTAGCGACATACTCATACCCGTACCCATGCAATATATGAGTGGCACCAACACAGGCATTCATCATGAACCTAAACATACACTCACTAGGGTGGCATAGAATAACAAGTTAAAAACATGAACTTCTCGAGAACTACAAAAAACTTTATCTACAGCCTACAGGTTCAACTTTAGAAATTCAAATGGTGTTATCTTTTGAATTTGGAAACTGATTCTAACTGATTGCCAGATTATACTATCATCCGATATAACTGCAAGTTTAAATAACAAACCTCATCTTTCTATGTCTTCCTTCTACTGTTTCCTAGTATAAGATATCTTTGTACAGTTGCTTCTTAGTCATAACTTGTACAATCTAAAAATTGAAATGTAAAAGGTTGAATTTCCTGCTATTCAATTGGTACACGAGGTTTACGGGAAGATCCAATCTTGACCGCAATTTTCACAGCCACAAATGTAGGACCACCTTTTCGTGTTATGTTGGCAAACAATTGAAATTTTACATTAAAGTTTTATAAGGCTTCGTAACATAAAGTTTGTGTTTCAAAGAGAGCTCTTAAAGAGTCATGAAATGCAGACACCTCCTTAGATGGAACAACTTAGATGGAGCATTACATGACGTAATGCTTACAGTTATGATGACAACTGTGGTGCATGTTATATGCGTAAGAAATGAAACTGATACAAGGCAAAGATGATGAAGATTATCTTATGAACATTATTCCAAGTCCTGTTATGTTAATATAATTTAACAGAATAACTTCAACTAAGAGGGAAAATAAGCTGATAAAGAAGAATAATAAAATATACAAATATCCCATAAAATCGTCCAGACAAGATCATAGATCCAACATGAAAGGGTTAGTTCATCAATCAGAATAATCACATTTATACTCTGCAAAACGATATCTAAATCACGTTTTTTAAATATTTTAATTATCATCCACCTAGTGGCTATCAAATTCCTTCTGCAGCAGTAATATGAAATAGAAAGCCAATATCTCTTAACATACCTGTTAACAGTTAAAAAGTGATTCTACAAGAACAGTTCCATATAGTGTACATTAAAGACAACATACCATCTAAATAATTCTTTGGAGCTTTAAGGGTTTGATTCTCGTCGTCATGATGAGACTCGTCGATATTACATGCACAGCACAGCCAGCGCTTCATTTTTTTCTCTGTTTTATATCTCTTATATATGGCTAGGATACCTATCAATCCAGAACATGACTGTTAATAACCAATGGCAGAACCATAAGAATTAAAGCGCATGTCCAAATGAAACATTAATATATAAAATACATCATTTTATACAAGCTTTTCAGGTTTTATAGTTTCCACATTTTCTCTTATATCAATTAAAACGAAGTCCAAAAATCATTTATATTGCCTTTAAATTTTAAATTAGAAAAAAGTGTAAGTACCTTTTTTCAGCTATAGAGAATCATACCAAAAAATGGAGGTTATTTATGTAACATACAAGTGTAACCTTAGAGTGAAGCTAAAGCAAATTTCCAAAATGGACTTTAAATTAGATATATCTCGTAATTATGTACATTGAGGCAGATGATCGAAATTTAACTGCAAAGAAATCAGCTAAAATAATAGCAGACAGGGACACCACGATTTGAAATGCAGAGAAATTAACCACCTAGCACAACAACAATAGAGCAGACTACTAGCACAATCTATCATTAATATCCACACTATACAAACTAAATACACTCGTCATGCATCTGTCCCCATCAGAATAATAGCAACGAAATTAAAAAAACAAGATCAACTAATTTCTGGCCAATCTCCAGCGGGAATTAAATCACATAATACAGCAAGCAACTCAGACAAAGGAGTGCTGAGACCAACAACGACCATAAAATTCATTGAATAAATTAAATTTGAAACGATCTACAAACAACAGAGATAAAAAGACGTTATGTTGCCCTCACACAGCACCAAAGTCCGAAGACTGAAACTTTACGAGAAGCAAAAATACAAGAGAAAGATGCAATCAATCTCCAATCATAATACATCAAAAATGTAATAAAAAACCTAGAAATCCACAGAAAAACCAACCAGACATCAATTAAGAAAAACGTCCAAAAAAAGCAACGAATCTGACAGACAGAACAAGATCCAGCGAAGAAGATCGTGAATAAAGAGAGGGCGAAGAAATCGGAAGCGAATCGAATCGATTCAAATCAAATTGAAATCAAGGGGATCCAAAGCCAAAGTTGCAATAAGGTGAAAAGAGCAGGATGACGAGAGATTTTACCTTCGCCTTCGCCTTGGAGGTTTGATGCTCCTCCTCCTCTGCTTCTTCTAGCCTCAAGGGGCTAGGGTTAGAGAATTGGAGGAGAGAGAAAGAGAGGAGGGGTGAGGAGAGAGAAACAAATAGAGAGAGAGAGAGAACGAAGTACGGAAATATCGCCGTTTAAAGAGGGGGGGAGAGAGAGAGAGAGAGAGAGAGAGGAGAGCGGTGGAAAGTCCGAATAAATGTTTGTTCTAATAATAAGTTGGAATAAATAATGCGCCAGCGAGGCCGACCATCATCCAATATATTTATTTACAAATAAACCTATGATGGTACGCGGTTTTTATCCCCTTTTCCAGGTTGGACCGTCTGCCCCTTTCTTTTTTTAACCGGGTAATAATAGAATTAGAGGAGTACTTTAGCAGCACGCTTTGAAACGCGGTTTGTTAAGACCAGGTAAAAAGGACACGTGCGATGCACGTGAACGGCCTATGTCGTCGCATACAAATAAAGAAGGGAAAATTGCTTCTATCCCCCAAAACCATTGTAAGTATTCCGCCCTTCAAGACTTTTTCAACGATCCCAAAGCCCCCCAAAATCATTCAAATATACTTTTAGCCCCTCAAAACTCTTCCTCACGTGACCAATGCTTAAAAATAAAAAACTTTCCCCAAAATGCCATTTGATTTAACCGCCTCCCATTTATCAATATCAATCCTCGTCGATCGTGCCATCACATCTCTTTTCTGTCCAAGCGAACCGACTCCAGAGCATAATCCTAACCCCATTGCAAAACCCTAACCCTAAATCAACCCACTCCAGAGCATAATCCTACTCCTAATCGGAAAAATGCCCGGCACGTCAACTCGCAAAGTAGTCGTCCCTATCGATTTCAGCAAATACGACGACGCGTCACAGTACGTCATCTCAAAAAGACCTTCAAGCACAGCAAAGTGGACTGAAGTAAGCACATCAATTACTGATGTTCTCGAGAACATCTTAGCCAGTCATTCTCATCCCACAAGTCCAGCTCAACCCAAAAAGCCAGTCCAGCGCATAGATCTAGAGGGCAGCACCGGCACCACCAACGCCTCTAGAGCGCTCCTGGTCTACAGAGAGGACCTAAAGAGACGCATACGACAGCAAAAAAAAAGTAATTTTTACCATAAAATTTAGTTGTTTATGATGTTGCATGTTGTGTTAATTGTGAAGGATATTGTTAAGTTGTGAAGGTTAGCTTGTAGTTGTCAAGAAAATTCATTAATTGTTAAGGTTATACATTAGTTGTTAAGGTTATTGATATGTTGTGAAGGTTACTGTTCAGTTGGGACATGTGGCATGTTAGTTGTTAAGGTTAAGCGTTTGTTGTTAATGTTATGAGTCTGTTGTGAAGGTTACTCTTTACATGCGGTTGTTAGTTGTGAAGGTTATTGTTGGCTGGTGGCTGTTAGTTGTGGAGGTTACTGTTTACTTGTGGCTATTAGTTGTGAATGTTACTGTTATCTTGTGACTTGTTAGTTGTTAGGGTTACGTTTTTATTATTAAGGTTATTGATTGGTTGTTGAGGATAGGCATTGGTTGTGAAGCTTATGGATTTGTTGTTAAGTTTACAATGTCTTTGTTAAGTATACAGCATAATTGTTATGGTTACAGATTATTTTCAAACTAATTATATCTTGTGGTTTTGCTTTGTAGACAAAAGACAAAGTCCATATCTGAGTTACGGCCTACTTCCAGCTTCACTGCGTACTAGGAATTCATGCATACTTTAGTGCAGCATATAGGCAAAGGCACTGGAAGGCCTATGAAGATAGTGTATTCAGACACTACATTCATTTTGGCCCTCCTGGTCATGATCTTCCCACTTTCGAGCACGTGCTGAGATAGTGGGATGAGAAAAAGATGAAATTTATCTTCACTGATACAAAAACTGAAGAAGACATCGAGTGCTCATTCAACCTTGGTTGGGCAATGAGCCATACATGGTTCTCTAATGAGGGGGATCTTGTTGGTCCCAACTAAGACAAGAAAAATAGAATTTGGTCAAGGTTTTTTTTACCAAACCTGAGGGTGATAGTAGTAGAGCTCCTCCTCTAGTACCCACTAGACGCCATGTTGAGGATCTACTCATGAGACTTGTACAATCAACGGATCGTCAAGATGTGAAGGACTTTGTCCTGCTACAGATCCTCTATCAGCTGAGCATGATCTGGTGTCCATGCAGTTTTCTTAGCATTCCAAGGCATTTGTTCAAGTATGTTGATAGCATCGAACATGCAAATAATACTACTTTGGGGACCTATATATTCAGTGAGACAATTGATGCGATTGAAAAGGCATTGAAGGGTCCTAGGCCAGGAAAGAAGATTATATATCTGCAAGAGTGTACCCAGCTTGTTTGTGTAAGTATTCCTACTTTTTATTGTTTATAGCAATGAGTAAATTTTATGCATTAATTATTGTGAAGGCTAGGGTTTAGTTCTTAAGTATAGCTGGTAGTTGTTATATATACAAGTTGGCTATCAAGGTTACTGTTTTATTATTATGGTTACTTATTTGTTGTTAAGCTTACAGATTGGTTGTTAAGGTTACATATTGGTTGTTAAGGTTACAGGTTAGTTGTTAATATTACGGATTTATTATTAAGGATACAAGTTGATTGTTAAGGTTATGGATTTATTGTTATGGTTGCTTATTTGTTGTTAAGGTTAAAAAGTGGTTGTTAAGATTCTATTTCTCTCATGTGCAGCTATGGTGCTATGAACTTACTGGCGTCAAGAAGTTAATAAGTTATTTCATAAGATTCAATAATATTTAAGGCCTATTAAATTATATAACGCAAGATAACGAGTTACGTAACAAGTTTTGTTTCTAACACAAAATACGCCTAATGACAAAAAATCATATATTTATTTATTTATTTATTTATATATATTTATATTCATATTTTGTTAAAAATATCATTACAAAACACCTCTAAATTTTTTATTGGTTCCTATACAACACCGTACAATTTTTTGATTTGTTACGCAACTCATCTACACTTGTCATTTAGGTCTACAAGCCCCGAATGTAATCAATCATTAAACGTAATTAATCAACTAATCAAAATATTTTGTTGTATTCTGAAAGGACCTCTTTTTGCTGATTTTTAAAAACAATAATAGTGTAACACATATTCTCTTAAAAAACGTACTTAAGTAGTTAGTACATAGATATCATGGAATTACACAAATACAATTCTTTTATGAGATTTATTATTCATAATTTAATTGTCACACCCCGGTTCCAAAAATATAATAACTTGGAACGTGACTCGGCCGACAATACAAACATTCGGCCACATTCATGCCTCTAGATCATCATATATATAGATATAAAGCCAAAACTATACCATAGAGCATGTAACTAAGACAATAAAAGAAATATATAGATGAAGAAATCTACAAAAAGGATGGAGTTAAATAAATAAAAATTACATCATAGTCTAAAAAAAAAGACACATATGACTCTAGAAAAAGTCTAAACCAAATAACTATCTAAACCAACTGAACTAAAGAACTAATAGACTAAAAGGTGATCACTTCCGCTAGACTTGCTCCTCAAAATATTCTCGATCTTGCGAAGAAAGAACGGTTTTCGTGTTTGGGGTGCGCAAACCCTAGGGGAATCAGAAAACTCCCAACAAGCATGTAAAATGAAGAAAATAGGCGCATGTAAGTGTATGTAGTAGGTATAAAGAAAATATGAAAACTCAATTAAAGATAATAAAAGAAAATGCTAATTGTAGATATTAAACAAGGTATACCACAAGGCACACAAGCACATTATTATTATTTTAGGTGTTATTTAAATTAGAGAAGAATATTTTCATGTGTATAAGTCGGGTTTCTTAAACCATCCTGGGAACATGGTTTCAAGTCAGGATTGACCCTTAGCTCTTATATATATAAATCCAAGATATCAAAAATGTTCATGAGCCCGCTTATATACACGTTATATTCTCTATCCAATTCCCCTTTATAAACTCCATATTTACTCATTTATTTTAAGTGGTTGTGCATGAAATATTATTCACTAACCATAGAGGTATTGTGGAATGGCTTTCGTAAAATTTATGAAAAATAACTGTGACCCAAAACATGTCCAATCAAGATGGATGCATCGTCTAGTCAATGCTATTATAATAATAGTAATAATCAAGAGAAATATCTCACATCGGGATATCGATGTCGAGGGTATAGTCATGCTATGATAACACGTTTATGAATCATATTTCTTGTTAGAAGTCATCTTCATACATAATTAACCTATTAAATGTCACTAGGTGATCAAATATAGCATTAGGTGATCCAATAAGCATCAAGAGATCAACAATATCATCATTCATCTTAACAAAAGGAAAATTAATAGTTAGCATAATTGTTTAGTGTCAAAGCGGGCTAAATGATTTCAAATTTGATAGCATAGAAATCTGCAAAATTGATTCTAGTGAGCAAAAGGCTCAAACGGGTCTGAAATATGATATTGGATCCTAACTGGGTCAAACGGGTCTGTAATTTGAATCATAAACCCAAACGGGTTTGAAATCTGTTATTGGATCCTAACTGGGTCAAACGTGTCTGTAATTTAAATCATAACCCAAAAACAAGTCTGAAATCGATAATGGGTCTGAACTGGGTCAAACAGGTCTGTAACAAGTCACCTAACCACAACTCCAACAACTACGTTGTGAAAAATCGACTACAGTAAACAATTTAAACATATTCTTTGTTATAACTATAATCTTGAAAAAAATTAGAAATCTTTAAAATTACTTATTATTATTAGTATTATTATTATTTTAACAAAACTATTCTGACCAAAATAAAATAGTTTCGAAAAATAATGTAATAAAAACTATCTACAGAATAGTTGTCATAACTCTAAGAGGAGAATACTAGTAATTGGATAAGGTAACTATGAAAATAAAAGAGTTTAGGTTATGAAATGCTTGCATAAAGTGTCAAGATATTCCTATAGCATCATAATTAAAAATATATAAAAAATAACTACAATCTACTCCTCATGATTATCTAAGAAGAAATACTACTATTTAGATAAGGAGATCATGAAAATAAAAGAGTTAAAGGATAAGAAAATGTTTGTCGAGGAATAATTTGAACTCTAAACTTAGAAATCTCTATCCATTCGCAGTGCTTGAGTACC